CAAGAAACACAAGATACAAGTAAAATATAAACCAACTTTATTTTATTTTATTTAAATTTGCTACAAACTAAGATTTGTCATGAAAATAAATTCTTCCATGTTCATTAGGTCAGTTGAAGCTGTTTTTGTGAAAATCAACTACTAAATATTTCAGACCATAATACTGTCAGACACACAGACTGTTTTTTTAAATTTATTAACTTTCATTCTCCTGCAGATATGCCATCGCTCTGGCCCTCAGAGAGAAGCAGAGAGTCATCTTCACCAGCCCGATCAAGGCCCTGTCCAACCAGAAATACAGAGAGATGTATGAAGAGTTTCAGGACGTGGGTCTGATGACGGGTGATGTCACAATCAACCCCACTGCCTCCTGTCTCGTCATGACAACCGAGGTGAAATGAAAACACTGTCAAATTTGTCACACCTCACTCCCCGGGGGGGAGGTCTGTGAAAACAAGTTTCAAAAGTAAGATATTGATGTAATGCCCTAACTTTGTGTTTTAATCTGGCAGATTCTGAGGAGCATGTTGTACCGAGGCTCTGAGATCATGAGAGAAGTGGCCTGGGTTATCTTTGATGAGATCCATTATATGCGAGACGCAGGTGTGTTTACAAGGAACACACTCACACATACACATTAACAGCTAACTTACGACACATGGTGAAGTAACTTTCCTCTACTTCATCTTCTTCAGAGCGTGGAGTGGTGTGGGAAGAGACCATTATCCTTCTGCCCGACAACGTACATTACGTCTTCCTGTCAGCCACCATCCCTAATGCTCGTCAGTTTGCTGAGTGGATTTGCCATTTGCACAAACAGGTGAGATGATGCCAGTATCACGCACTGAGACACTGAGCTCTAGGTCTGGTTTGTTGATCAGGCAGTTGGAGCCAGTTTTTCACCTCATGTCAATGATGTGAAAAGGGAAGGGTTTGAAGAAAATGTTGTTTCTCACATCTGATCGGAAGGGTTTGAAGAAAATGTTGTTTCTGACATCTGATCACATGACATGAAACAAAATTATAAAAGAAAGAAATATATCCAGTTATAGACATTACAATTGTAACACATTTATACAAATCACAGCCATTTTTATTGGTTATTAGTAATAGCATTGCCATTATGTGAATATTTTAATCTAATTTAAAAAGACAATTTCTACGGCCATTGAAAATAATGTGAAGTTATATTTCCTAGAAATGTGATAATGCAGTGTGTTGGAGTATCAGTTCATGTTAAAGAAAACCTCTGAATGTGGACCTTTTAGACTCTTATCATGTCATCTCTGATTGGCCTGTCGTTGTGACTCTTTCTGTGTACAATATACGAAGGCTATAAATGGACATCCTTCTGCTTTATTTCATGTCCTTCTGTCATGTTTTACACCACTAACAAAGTTGTTTCTGTCTCATGTCTTCTAGCCCTGTCATGTGGTGTACACAGACTACCGTCCCACTCCACTGCAACATTACATCTTTCCAGCAGGGGGTGATGGTCTCCACCTTGTGGTCGATGAGAACGTAAGAAGGGAAATGTTGTTTATAATCAGAAGGTTTAGTTCATAATAGATGTGTCTTTAATGTTACATCCATAAAATGCATTTTTTTTAAGTCTTTACTAAAGAACTGTTGGTTCATCCAGGGAGACTTCAGGGAGGACAATTTCAACACAGCCATGCAGGTATTGAGGGATGCAGGGGATTCTGGGAGCAGCAGTGGGGGCAAGTGGGACCCCAAAGGGCGCAAAGGAGGCACTAAAGGTTTGTGTGTGTGGGTGGGGGCATGGGGGGGGGCTGTTTTAGAGATTTAAATTGCTGCATGTCTTCAGTTGTCCATGTGTTTGTCTCTGTCTATAGGACCGTCCAGTGTTTTCAAGATTGTGAAGATGATCATGGAGAGGAACTTTCAGCCTGTGATCATTTTCAGCTTCAGCAAGAAAGAGTGTGAGGCCTACGCCCTGCAGGTAGCCAAACTGGACTTTAACAAAGGTGTGTATGCATCAGTTTTTGCATTATATCTTTACTTTAAACACATGACAAGTGAGTGTGTGTACAGACATGTCCTTAAATATGCACTGAGACCAGTTAAACACAAACATTATGACATGTACATCATTGACATTGTAAGCACGTTGGTTTGAACCCTTGTACAGAGTGACTTGGCTCCCGGCTTCTTCGTGCATAGTGAAAGGTTTACATCACACCCTGGAACCGGTGGATCGCAGATGATGTGTTCCTGGTGTGAAAATGTTTTCTTTCTTTTTTTTTTTCCTCAATGAGGTCAAGTCGTGTGTCAAGCTGGTTTGACTTGTTCTAAATTAATGCAGGCAGTTTTTATACAGCATAAATTCTGCTGCTTCAACTGCGATAACAGCAGTTCTGACTCCCCCGCCCTTCTGCTCTACCTTGTATTTATTTTACAATATTTTAATTTCTCACACTGCTTTTTTCTACCTGCTTATTCATCAAGCAGTAGAGGGTGGAAAAAAAAGTCAGATGGTAAGATGATAAACCTTCTCAGCAAAAACAGTGTTGAACTGTGGTTTCCATTGTGTTTCTCAGGTGTAATGTTACACTCTAGGATTCTGTACAGTAAACAGTGGACGTAGGCTTGTTTAGGTGTAGAATGGTTGACTCAGAAAACGAAGGATAGTTATGCAGCCCAGCTGAAGAACCCCTCCCTGGTTACGTTGTTGCAATGAGTGTCATTTATTGTGCATGCACAGCTGGTCCGGTTGTTTTGGGTCATAGGTCAAACACAGGTTGTTTCATGAAGACGAGTCATTGTATATTGGAGGTGTTCCAGCAGTAAATTGAACTTGTGCTGATTCACTTGCTTCAGATTAGAGGTATTTGTTAAATACACATCATATGTTCATGCCCTTAGAAATGAATGCTGTGCTCATGTTGTGCTTGTGGTTCCTGGTGGTCTTAAACTAATATAAATTTGAGTCATTGTCCAAATACTATGCTTCTTGAGAACTCCATAAACACAAAGAAGGATGTGTCCTATGAGAGTCAGATATTAAATTGAAGTAGTTCAATAAGTTAAATGAGTTGATGGAATTTGTACTGTAGTTAACTCAATTATCATAATTATATTTTCTCATTCATTAACCACTCAGTCTGTACTCTGACACTACAACAGGTCTGTCTGTTGATTAAGCCTCACATGTCATGGTTCTATTTCCTCAATGTTGGTCCTGTAATAGCGCTGGCTAGTAAGGCATTGTGGGATATTCAGTTTTTATTCAAGTTTTAGTGTGGCTAGTAAGGCATTGTGGGATATTCAAAGTTTTAGTCTCTTACCCAGGAATATGAATAAATATAATTCAATTTCATCCCACACACTCAGAGAGGACAACAAACCACAAACAAAAATGGAACAAATGTATGTTTAATTATGTCCAAATTGTTTCAAAGTGTTAAAATTATGACACTAACGTTGACGTGTGTAGTTTAAAAGATTCCTCTCTTGTTTCATTCTTTGTGTCTCACTGCAAAAATCAGAGCAACGGTTCTCTAAACCAAGACCGATTATTCCAGAAGCAACCACTGTGGACAGGTTGTTGACGTTACAGTGGAGTTTTTGTCAGTGTATGTGGGTGGGAGCCACGTGGCTCTCTCTCTCTCTCCCACTCTCTTTCTCGAAATTTTCTTCTATTTTTCTTTCTTTCTCTCCTCACGTTTTCATCTGTCATCCTTTCATTCCCAGTTTTTCTTTCTTGGCCTTTAAACCTCCCTCCACCCCCGCCCTTCCTCTCCACCCCCTCTGTACTATGTGCTGTGACACAGTGTTTCTGGGCATCGATTTTTAGAATGACGGACAGGTTGAAGTCAGAGCTTCGACTGGTGCCACAGCATGAGTTCAAGAACAACATTGTCAGATTTACAAAGCAATTAAATACATGACACCCTGTGCTCGACTGACGGGTCAAGGGTGTACTTCAACAATCTGGTTTGACTTTGACCTACAGCAGGACCATATCTACATGGTGAATCCCAGAAAAATAAAAAGTAAGTTTAGGGTGAAGTAGTGTGATGTGACTGTCCTAAACAGATATACTCAGTTGGTATCCTATTGGACCTCCAAGCTGTCGATCACACATTGTGTCCATTCATATTTGTTACATCTTGATGTGTTTAATCAGCTGTTTTTCCTCTAAACAGGATCAGAATTTACAGACTTCATCATGACTACTTAAGACAAAAACCATAAACTATGAGACACAGAAGAGAAAATATTTGTTTAATAATAAAAAAAGAAATTCATAAAATTAAATTCTGTTTCATTCTAAAATCAGTAGAACATTTCCACCTCCATGGCTGTGATTCTGTTATCATCAGTATTCATAATCATCATCATTAGTAGTCGTAAATGTTTTTATGGACCTGGAAAGGAGTTGTCGACGTGTGTATTTTCAAGGCTCAGACTTTCTCCATCTTGTTGTATGGTTGGTGTTATTGATTGTCATTGTCGTCACAGGAGCAATACTTAGCCTGCTGCTAATTTAGCTTTTTTGGATAGAAATGGTGTCCATTCATGATTGAGTCTATGATGTTGGACTGGATTGTTCTGAGATCTGCTGTCCATAAAAATGTCAAAGAGTACTGTAGACCTTTGGTTCAGTATCCCCCCCCCAAAAAAAACCAAAAAAACCACTGTCTTAACCAACCAGACGTTCTACCATTAATCACCACATACACTGACCTCAGTGTGTGTGTGTTTGGCATCACTTCCTTTGTTTGGAAAACATCAGTACAAGTCCCGTCGACACTGAAGTCATTTGGCAGTACCAGTAAGCACTGAGTCTTCAGGCTTCGTGGAAGTCCAAACTATGTGACTAACAGGCACATTGGAAGGAACATTTCCCCAAACAGTTTCAGGAATAAAAGACATGTGACCGACTTTCCACTTGGAACAATGGAACAATACAGAGATGCTGCTGGCTGTGACACCGTCTGGGCTTTATGTTTAGCAGACTGCATTTAGACACAGGGGATAGAGAGATATATTTCCATAGCATCAGTGAGAATTGTTAATGTTGATAGTGTAGTGTAAGGCAGGGATCTTTGTTCAATTATGATTTAGTTGATCAAAACCTGAATAAATTAAAGAATATTTGAATGGTTTTTTTTAAACCACCCAACACACTGCAAATACACACACCAGTATGTGATGCCAAATATAACTGATGACTTTCATTGGTAATTTTATAATTCTTCTTTCAGAGGAACAGGTCATTGGATAAACTACTGAGTAAACAGCTGACACTTCCAGATGAAGAAGTGATGTATTGTGGGTCATGTGTTGCATTAATTTGTCACTTTTAATGTGGAAATGTTTCTTGACTCTTTCGTTGTTATGGCCTCAGTTTCTCTCTGCTTTTCTCCAATGACCACAGACCTGGGTCATGTCTGGGCCACATGTGGTCCTCGAGCCAGTATTTAAATGGGCAGGCTGGAAGAAATGGCTTCCATTCTTTCTAAAAAGCTACAAAAGTGGTTTGGTCTTTTTTATGTTGCAGAGGAAGAGAAGCGTCTAGTGGAGGAAGTGTTTAACAACGCTGTGGACTGTCTGTCCGACGAGGACAAGAAACTGCCTCAGGTGAAGCAGGATGAACAAATAGTTGTTGCTTCATTTTTAACTCCCCAGTGCAGCTATTATGAAACGACACAAAATAACTGTTCCAAAGCCGTGCACGTGTCATATTTCTCTTACTCTGTTCTGATCGTTGCTGGTAATGGTTTAACAGACTGTTGACTTTGTACCCAGGTGGAGCATGTGCTGCCCCTGTTAAAGAGGGGAATAGGTATTCACCACGGAGGGCTGCTGCCCATCCTGAAGGAGACCATTGAAATCCTTTTCTCTGAAGGCCTGCTTAAGGTATTTGAATGTCTTTTTGTTGCCTTTTCTATCTCCTAACTTGGCTAAATTGACCTAAAATATGTCAGAAAAACATTGTGGCCAAGGAACTAATATGCAGAGCTTTAAGTTCAGTGAAGCCGTACCCCTCAATTTCCCAACAAAAATGACAACAGTTAATTACTGCAGTGTGTTGTTGTTGCTCATTAAATTATGAGCAACAACCAATGATTTTTTGACCAATGACCTATTTTTTGACCAATGACCTAAACATGTTTTATTTAAGTTTTGTCATTTTAGTTGAGTAATTAATTACACATTAATAACACTGTTGACAAATTGACTCAACATGCTTTCTAACACCTGTGCATTCTTCCCACAGGCCCTGTTTGCTACAGAGACATTCGCTATGGGCATCAACATGCCGGCCCGCACTGTGCTCTTCACCAGCGCACGCAAGTTTGACGGCAAAAATCATCGCTTTGTAAGAACACATCCACTTTATAGGCTTTCAAGAATGCAAACAACATTTTTTCTTAGAGTTCTCACTGTCTTTATAGGCTTTCAAGAATGCAAACATTTTTTCTTAGAGTTCTCACTACAGTTTGAATTTAAGGGTCTAAGCTAAGACCTAATTAAGATAACTAAGGAAACGATGTTCAGTTTCTCAGTCTCTGAAAGAACTTTGTGAAGTCACTGTTAAAATAAGCGACCTTTTCTCTCCACTGTAGATAAATGACACACAGTGGCACCAATGCTGCTACTTCGTTAATGCCACAGTAACAGTCTATCTGTTACTGTTACTCTACCCTAATAATAATTTTCCATAAGTGTCTCAACCCTTCTGATGTTATCTCTGCTGAAGTCAGCTTCATTTTGGTAATGTGGCTGATCCCCAGCATCTTCGTCATCAACAAAATGAACTTTTCATCACGTTTATATAATGTAAGACTTATCAGCAGCCTCACCCAATTTCCAAAACCGACTTGAGCAGAGAAGTGATGGATGAACTTAGTCTGTATTTACCTTCAGGTCATACATGTTGCTCGCTGCACACTCACAATTCCATTTTTCAAGAAACGCATTGTCTGTAAAACCTTATTTTACTCCTCCTCAAGCCCAAAGTCTGATCCTTTGGTGGATGTTCCTTTTGTACCCACACGTTGAGTATCAAGAGTGATACCTCAATATCTGAGAAACCTGAACCTGAGACCTTGAAATAGTTCAATGTTGCAGTTTTTGTATGATGTCTTGTTTATTGTTTTTCAGAGAGGCAGATGTGTTCATCTGCAACACTAAGCTGAATAGTTTCTAGTTATTTAGAGTCAAGATTTATTCTCTACTTACAGCAGTGACATTTATCATAACATCTTCATCAGAGCATCACAGTTTGCTGCGCTGCCGTTGGCTCATAAGAGTGAGGAATGGACTGAGCCAAATTATAGTGCAACCCAGTTGTCTGTTTATCCTGACATGCTGAAATGGCATTTCTGTGCCTTTAAATGGAACTGCTGCACAACCCGTAAACACAGCCTCTCTGTCTGTCGCCGTACCTGCAGTGAGTTTGTGTACGAGCAGCAGAGCTCTCCATAAACAGCGCTATCTCTTTAAAACAACATCTCCGTCAAAGTGTCATACGACGGCTCCTTTGCTGCGGGGCCTTTATATGGTCTTCAGGTCCTGCAGCGTGCTTGGCCACATAAACAGCCACGTATGGTCTGTGAGAGGTGGTGGGGGCGCTGTGAGTGTGTGTGCGTGTGTGCATGGAGCTGAAGTCTCTTAGAAGCACATTAGTCAGCTCTGCACACACACACACACACACAGACACACACACACAAAAGCTTGAAGAGAATGCGAGAAGGAAGCTGCTCTCCAAGAAGTTCATCAGGAACATCTGGTTTCTCTGACACTGCCAAAGCTCCACGCAGGCACTCACACTCCTCAGTACACACAGCTCTCATTCCACAAAAACCACCGAGTTTCAAATCATGAGCCTGATACAACGATCGACCTCTTTTAAGAAGCAAAATATTCCCATATTTGCCACCTTTTCTACATTTTGGTTTCCCAGAGTAGTAAAAATACACCGATGTTGATGTTGTCACTGTGTGACGTGGTGTTTTTTCCTCAGAGTCTTGTTAAAATAGGGTTGAGCTGCTGCACCACCAAACGTCCATTAATTGACATTAATAATCCTCCAACTACTATGAAAAATAAGATGCCATTTATTGCTGTCATCGATGGCTGCTCCTCTCATTAACACATTTCTTAATCTCTCGTGTGTTTCTCTCTGGATTAGATTACATCAGGTGAGTACATCCAGATGTCGGGTCGTGCTGGCAGGAGAGGCATGGACGACAGAGGGATTGTTATTTTCATGGTGGATGAGAAGATGAGTCCTGCTGTGGGCAAACAGCTACTGAAGGTCAGTCCCCTCCAAAAAAACTTTTTTTTTTAATAGAATAAAGAATTAAGTCAATCACTTCGTCCTCTTTATAAGATACATTTTATTAACCGTATATTCTCATTTAAATTATTATAACAATCGGCCATTTACTCCAGAATTTTGTTTGGAAAATATGTGATCCCAGAGCTGCATTTAAACACCTCTAGTGATTTGAAAAAAAAAAGAAATGTTTACATGTTATTTTAAGGGATTCACTGTTGTTAGTATCAGTATCAGTATAAGGGATTCACTGTTGTTAGTATCAGTCCAATAGTCTTAGTTTAATGTGAAAAGTGACTTATTATTTTAACCTCTGCTCATTTTTTTGTTCAGTTGACGCCAGTGTCATTTGTCAGAAATGTTTCTTTGTCTGTTAATAAGAGGAAAATCAGGCCTTCAGCATTTGTCGTCCACACACACACACACACACCTGTTGGTACATTACAAATGGTAGAGGGACGACACTATTTATGCCACATTCTCTTATTGCTTTCGAATGAATGAGTGTTGGCCAGAGGTTTTAGAATCACTCTTATTTTCTAAAGTGTTTCCTACTGCTGCCCTTGAAGGTACTGATACAAGTGAATGGAAATTGTTATGCCTGCCGTTGTTGCCTTTGTGAATCATTAGGTCATAAGGATTGGCTCAACCAACTCATTCCACACAGAAAGGCCAGGGAATTCTGTGTTACGGTTTTGATTTGACACATTTATAGCTACACTGCTATAAATATGCGGCTGCCGAGCTTTTGTAAGAGATTGTGTGATAAAGTAAAACTGATTGTTGGCACCGTCACACTGCTGAACTCCCCGGGTGTGTTGGAGAAAGATGTTGAACACATATCTGCGGTTTTGGCATTTTTAAGGTCACGGTTGCAAAATCTTCCTGTGGAGTTTCACTTGAGGAACGTGGAACCGTTGTGTGTTTATTCAGACCCTCCCGATTCAGTTTTTGAACGCTGACACGTTTATTATTGTCCGTACAGGAACAAGATCATTGATGTTTTTTGTTATTGACTTTGTGATGTGCAGGGATCGGCCGACCCTTTGAACAGTGCCTTCCATCTGACCTACAACATGGTGCTGAACCTGCTGCGTGTGGAGGAGATCAACCCTGAGTACATGCTGGAAAAGTCTTTCTATCAGTTCCAACACTACAGAGCTCTGCCTGGTGTCGTGGAGAGTAAGTCTTACACAGCACTGCACTCTTCATCTGGCTGAGGTTAGAATGTCCACACCAGTGGGGGGCGCTCCCTGAAGGGGGGCCTAGAGCTAGGACAGTGGGGGGCGCTCCCTGAAGGGGGGCTGAGTGGGGAGTGTGGGAGGTTGAGTTCAGGAGGATTTTAAATTATAAATACTGGTCGTTTTTTGTCCAACGGTTGGGAAATGCACTTTTTTATTTTTTAAAACAAAATCAGCAGTTTTATTTGGGCGAATGTTTTTATAAAACGGTTTGTGTGTTGGATGAACAAAAAACAGTCTCTGTGGAAAAAGTGTGGGAACCACTGTAGACGTACAATTCTTATAAGTTAACACAAATACACAGGTAGGCTACACTGAGACAGGTTTATTTATGAGGCAGATTTACTGATTAGAACCTTCAAAAAGATTCATAACAGCTACAAGATAAGACAAAGCTAACACGAAGACATCAAACCTGGAGATCTTTAGCACCGACGACAGGATAGACATAAACAAAGACAATATGAAACACAACTATCCCCATGTCTGATGACAAGCCTGGCCAAGTAACATGGTCCTCGGTGACTTGGCTGGATTTGAAATAACTGCCTGTATTCACCAACTGTCTCTGACCTGAGGTCTAACACTGGATCTGGGTGTTTAAAGTTGTTAACATTATATACAACAAACAGTAAAAACACATGACATATAAATGTATATCACCAACTGTCTCTGACCTGAGGTCTAACACTGGATCTGGGTGTTTAAAGTTGTTAACATTATATACAACAAACAGTTTATATAATTTAGCCTGTTTGTCCTTGGCTTTTCTTATACACTTTGACCTTCTGACCTCAGGCTCCGAGTCAATGACATTAGTTGAAGCGTAGCAGGTTAGGGTTCTGAATGTGAGAACTTTAAACAGACTCAGAGTGATGTTAGTTAAAAGTCCAGTCCTTTGTACAGCCAGGTGGCGGTCAAGCTCCTCCTTATTTAAACAAATAAACTGTCGCAGTAGTCCAGAGTAGAGGAAGTGAAGATGATTGATCATCTCCAGCTCAGATTTCAGTCATAGTCAGGTTTACGTTTAAAGGTACAGATTTTAAGCTTGATTTACTGAAAGAAGCTGTTTAAGTTCACAGCCTGGCTCCGTGGTAATGAGAATCATTGAATATGTGCAGAGATAAAGAAGCTGGAGGAGCAGTACCACAGCATCGAGATACCCAACGAGGAGAGCGTCATCACGTACTTCAAGATCAGACAGCAGCTGGCCAAACTGGCTAAAGACATACAGGAGTTCATCAACAAACCCAAGTACTGCCTGCCCTTCTTACAGCCTGGGCGTCTCGTCAAGGTAACTATTTTTTTCAAACGCCTATAATCTGTTGAAAAACCAAACAGTTGTTTAACTGATTTTTTTGTAACACTATTTGTGACATCATAGGTCAGAAATCAGGACCTTGACTTCGGCTGGGGGATTGTCGTAAACTTCAGCAAGAAATCTAATGTGAAGGTAGGTTCTCACAGAGTCACGTATGAGAGAATTCATTAACCTGCAGCTGTGATTTACATTCTCCTGTTTTCATTTTAAGACGGTTACAGATGCAGACCCACTGTATGTGGTGGAGGTTTTGCTCCACTGTAGTAAAGACAGTGTGAAAGATGCTGCAACCGAGGCGGCCAAACCTGTGGCTCGAGGAGAGACTGGAGAGATGCAGGTGGGTCAGGAGACGGCATGAGAATAAAAAAAAACACACCAACATATATGATGGAGGAAAAAAGGCTCACACAACATATTCAAAATATTAAACCTGTCAGACATAGAGTAGGGCTTCACAGGTCCCATTCTTCCCAGTTCGACAACTTGAATGTTTTTTTTCTTCTTCACGTGGCATTATTTTTACAAGTGAGGCTAATACTCCAGTGTGACATTGCGTCATTACAGACTGTTACATCTTCATTGATAAAGAGTAGAGAAGAATGTAAAAATAATATTATAGTTAAATTATAGCCCTGGTTTCGATTTTTTTTTTTTAATTGGCATTGAAGTATCAATCATCATCAAATCTGTTTTTGTTCAGGTGGTCCCTGTGATGCTCAGTCTCCTGACGTCCCTCAGCTCTGTTCGTCTGTACATCCCCAAAGACTTGAGACCCTTTGACAACAGACAGCTGATGCTGAAGTCTATACAGGTAAAAAAAAAACAAATAAGATTTATTTCTGTGTGTATAATCTCAACCTAGTGGTCATTAAAGTGTTGTTGCCCTCTTCTGCCCTGCAGGAGGTGCAAAAACGTTTCCCTGATGGCCTTCCTCTGCTGGATCCCATAGATGACATGGGCATCAAAGACCCCTCACTGAAGAAAGTCATCCAGAAGGTGGAGGCCTTCGAGCATCGCATGTACTCCCACCCTCTGCACAGTGACCCAAACCTGGAGTCTGTTTATTCTCTGTGTGAGAAGAAAGCTGTGGTGAGGATCGCTGCTCCATGTCCCAACACTCTTCAAACGTTAAATATTTATGGTATTATTCAGACACAGTGTTGGTCATTTACCCTTTTCCTGTTTATATTTTTTTGATCAGTCATATTCATCTAAATTAAAACTGACCTTCATTTGTTATTCTTTGGAATATAGATCAGTCAAACGCTCAGATCAGGAAGAAAGACGTGACATTTACAGGGCCTCGCCCGTCGACATGAGTCAGAACAGTAGACTTCAGGATAGGTCCATTTAAAACAGTTTTGAAATCCTTATATTTCTTTCTAACATGAGAGAGTTTAATTCAAGGTATTTAAATTTTCTAAACACCATCACCACTCACTAATTGAATCAATTGTCCATACTTAATTAAATAAGTTGGTAAGGTTCCTACACATCCATTCCAAAGTGAGACATTAATACCATTTCTTCAAAGTTTTTATTCAAACTTTGACCTGATTTGTCTGCTCGGTGTGAACAGCGGAAGGGTCGCTCCAGCACACCGTGCCATGTGTTTTTACAATTTATTAACAGTTTTATGGTTTTCCTAAGTATCTGTGTTGATGCCGGTGGAGCTGGGTGGACATTGCATTTTCATGAGTCATGCTGTTAGCTGGGGAATAACACACAAGTAAACACAAAGCTCAGAAAATATGTATCCAATAGAAGGGAAGGTTCAGAACAAACAGAAAAACAACACGGTCCCATTGGTAGGCGTCGTTTCAAAGACATCACCAGCTGCTGCTGCTTCTCCACACGCTGTCAAAATATGTATTTGTACAAAATTAACTTCACCTTAAAAATAAATATCACCAACAGGACATTGAACAGACAGAGAGAAATCTTCAACCAGAACAACTTCCTCGTTCTCTGGTGTCATGTCGACTGGCTCCACTGATGTCACGTGACAACCAGACTGCGTCAGATGGTTTTCATAGTCATTTCCATGTCTCTCTGGTCTCTACTGTGTCCTACTACTGTGTGTATGTGATTGAATTCTTGACTGTCTGGTGGATTCATCACCAGTTGTAAGAAGGCAGAAACTGATTAATAACAGTAATAACACAGTGGCCGTATTCTCTGAGTCTGTGTCTCAGATCAATGTTTTGAAATAATGAACGGTTGATCAGCTGTGGGCTGCTGTGTGTGTGTTTCAGATCGCAGCAGATGTGCGAACAGCCAAGAGAGACCTGAAGAAAGCACGCACCGTCCTGCAGATGGACCAGCTGAAGTGCAGGAAGAGAGTCCTGCGGCGCCTGGGCTTTGCCAGTCCCTCTGATGTCATCGAGATGAAAGGCAGAGTTGCGTGTGAAATCAGCAGGTGGGAAAAGAACAACACAGACTCTCTGTTGTTTTACACTGTGATGTACAGATTAGCAGGACGTCACATGGGCTCACTGGTGTCCAGCATCGCTTCCTGGGTTTCAGCTGTCGGGGAAGTCATATTCAGATTATGCAAATGAATGATTTGGCAGTAAAAAAAAAACTCGGCTTAGTCACCAATGTTGACGTATGACTTTTTAATCATAGGAATCTCAGTGTAGCTGTGGATTAATCATGAGGAATCAAAACATGATTAATTATGATTTATCGTGATTAATCATGATAAATAATGTTCATAATTTATTATGATAAATCAAAATAATAATTAATTCTGATTATTCCTTTAATATTTTTTATGATTAATCACATTCATAATTTATTATGGATAATCATTAATCAAAGGTAAATCTTCATTCTTTAATATGACAATATTAATTGTCTGTGAATTGTCAGAACACATGGACAAATAACAGCAGGTAAATGTGATCTGTGTTTAATGATCAAAATAATGGAATTATTAACAGAAACAGGCTTCAGTGAAGCTGTTGTCATCAGTGTTAATCAGTCTACTGTTTGTTGACTCTGTATTAGAGCAGCGTTAAGAGGACGGACAGTAGTGTTTTTACTCAAATTTCAAATCAGGGTTGAAGCGTTAATTTCAACCGCGCATGTTTTGTCGTGATTTTCATGGTCACATGAATTTAACGTCCTGTCTGTTGATCCACCTCTGTGTGTGTGTGTGTGTGTTTTCACAGTGCTGACGAGCTCCTGTTGACAGAGATGGTTTTCAACGGCCTCTTCAACGATCTCACCGTAGAACAAGCCACAGCGCTTCTGTCCTGCTTTGTCTTCCAGGAGAATGTAAGAGAACACACACATACATACGCACATACTGTACACACACACACGCACATACTGTACACACACACTGTCTTTAGGCTTTTGTGTAAACGATGCCAAGACGTGAGACTGTTCCTTCCTGTAATGTGTGTTTGTCTGACGTAACGATGTCCGTTCTCAGTTAGATATTCCAGAAATGAACACCAAGAAAAGCTCTGTCTCTGTGTGTTCACGTGTGTGTGTGTGTGTGTGTGCGTGCATGTGCTCAGCTGCTGTGTCATAAAATCAGCAGCTGCTGCTCAGTTCCCATGACTAACATCAGGTTCATCTTTTGACATGCTAATGCTAACGCATATAAGGAGTCACACACGAAATAAAATGCTAATGCTAACGCATATAAGGAGTCATACACGAGTGTTAAAAATACAATGTCCGTTTAATTTAATTTAATTTTTTTTTTTATTTAATTTTTAATTTTAATTCTGAAATAAAGTTTATTTGATTTTAAATCTTAACTAATCCATCGTCTTCTCGAATAGGTCTGAGCTGATCCCGGCCCTCCAATCGACAGTAGCTTTTTATCATACTTTTAGTTGCATTACTGCCACCTGCTGTGTACATTTTCCACAGAAAAGTAGCAGCACTAACTGATACAAGATCAAATACTTTAGATCTAAGTACTTGTATATAATGCTGAAGGGATGATTCCTTTCGTCTAGAACAGGTTTTCAAAACTCTAAAAAAATGTTAGTATATAATATAAAAGTTATAAAATGTTTCCACCTTCGCTCTTCAGGCCAGTGAGATGCCAAAACTGACTGAACAACTGGCCGCACCTCTGAGACGAATGCAGGTGAGAGCAGAGCGCCGTAGTCGTGGCCTGTGGTGAACTTTCAGATGTGACATTACACAGAGTCTCCGGTCATTACTTTAATCATTTCTCTGTGGTCAGGAGTGTGCGAAGCGCATCGCCAAAGTGTCTGCGGATGCCAAGCTGGAGACGGACGAGGAGTCCTACCTGAACCAGTTCAAACCCCATCTGATGGACGTGGTCTTTGCCTGGGCCAACGGCGCCACATTTGCTCAAATCTGCAAGATGACAGACGTCTTCGAAGGTGAGTCGCTGGTGCAGTGGACAGTCGAGAAGTTCTGAGACAGATTCAAGTTTGGTTAAAAATGTGTGTGTGTTTACTCTGATTTGATATAAAAACCTGATCAAACAAACACTGAGATATGACGATCAACTCTGAGACATCTGAGAGGTGTCTGCACATGGTTTAGTGAGTTGGACACATTTACTAAAAAAAATAGAACCTCTGTGTTGGTAACATGGTGTTATTCTTTTATACATGACAGTAATAAGTTCTTGAAAAAGTTTTCATTAATAAGTTTCTCAAACATGAATCAAAGAGCTGTTGCAGGCTCGTAAAGAGCTCTGCACAGGGACAATAATATTTTCTATCACGATCACTGCATTCTCAATGAGTTGTCAGAAAGTACGTCCTAGGCTCGAATCCCAGAGGGACCTGGGTACAAAGTCATTTTCCAGGTGTTTGTTTGTTTGTTTCCGACCCGTCCCTGTCTGAGTAGCATCTTCAAACTTTTAGCCGGCTGTTCAGCTTGAACCACAGAAATAAAAAAAAATGGAGCCAGGCATCGGCTCATTGTGATGTCACAGCTCACCGAGCCCAAATACCTCCTCATAGAACTCGCCTCAGTGATTTATGAAGTACGTCTTAATGTGAACCATGTCCCATGTCCATCAGTTCTCCTCAGGTTTTATCAGCTGGCTGAAGAAAGACACAGTGTTGTGGAGTGATGTAATCCTGAGTGGATGAACTGCAGGGAGTCGTGTGTGTGTGTTGGCACCGGAGAGTGGAAATATGACGATAATTCAGCTGATTAAAAAAATCATATCTTCTTGTTGTAAATGATAAGTTGAAAAAACATTGACCAGATAGTTTATTAAGAGCAACTTTAACAACAACACTTGCAGTTTGACTGGAGTGTAGAGAAAACTGCAACTGAGAAATGGACGCAAAAGAAATTGTCTCTTTACCCCCCACACACAGACACACACATACACACTATGTGCAAATATTTGCAGTGAAGTGTGAGCTACTAAAGAACTGAACAGTTTATACTGGAGTGGGAGAAGAGACAGGAAGGCAGCAGGAACTGGTATGATGACATGTGCGTCACTGCATCTCCTGAAGAGGGTGACTCTGAGCAGCAGGGTTGATTATTGGGTTCTCCGCAGTGTTTACAAAATTACTAAAATGTTACGAATGTATCCACGATAATGACTTTCTGTTTACACAAAGTCTTTATAAAAAGCTGTTGTTTAAAGTGAAGTAAACATAGCGAAACAATTTGTTTGTAGTGACATTGTGGTTGTTGACATAAAAAAAATCGTGTGATTACTCAACAGTAATGGATTATTTAAGGGCAAGTAAAAATAAAATCGAAGAAAATCTTTATTTATTTTACCCACATCCCTCTTTTTGGGTTCTTTCGTCATTCATTAACGCAGGCAGAAAAGTTTTAAGAAAAGATTCAGAAAATGTTTTTCTATGAAAATAACTAAAGTTTAAAGTTTAAACACCGCATGGAGACAGCAGACTAGGCTAGAGGACGTCTTCAGGACCATGTCAAACTGGATTCTTTGCTTCATGTCAGTTCTTTTCAAATGTTTGGACAAAGAACTTCTTTCCCAGAGTTTCAACCAAATTTGGTTTAATTGACGTAAACTCAACCACAATGTAGTTTGTTCTAGTTTTTAAAAATAAAAATGATGACGTTCACCACCAAACTTGAAAAACATTTTAAACTGTGTACCATTGTGTCTGCGACGTAGGGAGCATCATCAGGTGCATGCGGCGTCTGGAGGAAGTGCTGAGACAGATGTGCTCTGCAGCCAAGGCCATCGGTAACACAGAGCTGGAAAATAAGTTCGCTGAAGGTGAGGTTCATCCATCGACCACAGCAGCTGCTGTTAATGTTCTGGAGCATTCATTCAAAATACTGACTGATAAGACGGGGTGCAACTAAGGTTCGGGACTGGAGTCATGTCGGCCGTTGTTAAGGACAGGAGGTTCAGGGGATGGTTAGAGAGTGCATTAATTCATTCTTTTATTTCAAATTTCTGTACAACAACAGCAAAGAAGACTTTTTAAGTCAAAATGAAGTCCAAGTGAAGTCACTCATGTTAAAGTCTAAGTCGAGTTCCAAGTCCATTTTAGTCCAAAGTCGTCATATTTATGACTCAAATAGAAGTCATGTGACTCCAGTCCACACCTGTGGTTGTAATTGAATTTGTTGCGATTTTAAACACATGAAACTAAAGATGTTTACTGTGTCTCTGCAGCGATAACGAAGATCAAGAGAGACATCGTTTTTGCTGCCAGTCTGTATCTATGAAGAGCTGATGATGAGAGGAAACGTCACTTCGTCAATAGTCTCTCTTGTCCAGGACTGTATCGAGGTCGATATTGTTCAACACTGTTCAAGTGTGTTTTGCAGAACTTTTTTTCTTCCCTTGAGATAATTCGTGGAAACAACTCTTTTGTAAGTCAAGGATGTGCTTAGCAACAAAAAAACAAGTCGGGCTTTAATTTTATGAGAAAACTTAAAATGACAACTAACACAATCTTGATGTTATTGATAAGCATCATTTCTGCTTCTTATTAGACATCTGTACATACTTTGTAACACATATTTTCAATAAAAGTCTGTATGTCGACTTATTTCTAACATACAGATTATACAAAAACTACAATGATGCTTATTTACTTACAATTACAATTTTAAGAACAACCTTCCAAATTTCAACCTTCAAGTGACGTCCAATTGACCTGCAAATGACGTCCAAGTGACGTCCAAATGACCTCCAAGCGACGCCAAGTGACCTCCAACCGACGTCCAAATGACCTCCAAGTGACGTCCAAGTGACGTCCAAATGACCTCCAAGCGACGTCCAAGTGACGTACAAGTCACCTCCAAGTGACGTCCAGGTGACCTC